CGCAACTACAACTAACGAAACTCCTCAAGATGCAGAAGAAACAAAACTTAGAACAGCAGAGCTAATTTCTTTCGATTAAATTAACTTGAATATTATATACAATATATTTAACAGAAAAAATTTCTTTCTAAATTAGAACACTATGAAGAACATTATTAAGATAATATTTGCTTATTTTAACGAATAAAAAATTTTACCTCTGATAATAAAGCCATAATTTTACATTTATTGATTACTGACATAATAGTAAAATGTTTTTAAGAAATATCAGAATAAAATACGAATATGTATTTAAAGAAATATTATATCCTTAGAAAGCTAGAAGATATGAATTCGCTGCAGATTAGTTTTATGTATACATATTGTGCATTTTATGATATCAAAAACTGTTTCGTATTATATTGTTCTTTGAAAAAAAATTTGTTTATAACAAACATGTAACTGTGCATGTACAGGATATGCTCCTACATAGATACGAAATAAAGATACAATTTCTAATATAACAGTTTACTTAGTGTATATTTTTGTATTTAATTCTTAAGTATTTCACTTTTTATGCTTTACAATCAAAAGGTTAATTTTTGGGGAATATTGATTTAAAATATAAATGATCAAACAATAATAAACGATTTGTTAGGACCGTATAATGTGAATACACAATAAATAAGAAACAATCTTTGTTATAGCCTATACCGGTTGAAGCTGGATCTTGAGTGCTTTAAATAATTTCATGTGAATTCATATACCACATTTGTAGTATCTCGAATTGCTCGCACGGAATGCTAGAGATCTGGGTTCGACTTCCAGCCGAGGTAATATTTTTCGCAATAAATTTATTTACAATTTTCAATACATTAAGATCTTGAAATGATGTCAATTGAACATGAAATTATAAAATTGCTAATCAATTTAATTTGTGATATTACTATATGGTAGTTCAGTTGCGTTTCCAAGTCCAGAAAATCAATTTGGTGCGCAATTCGAGAGATTACAGACGTGGTATATAAATTCACGTGAAATTATTTAAAGCACTCGAGACAGACTTCGACCGGTATAGGCATTGCTTCTTATAAATGATTAATATCATTTAAAGAACCTTGTATATAACTTTCTTTATTCTTCAAATTATATAGAAAAACTGTAATCTTCTCAAAACAGGGATACATATACATATATGAAATAATTACGAGAACTGTTGCACGATTTCTTTACCATTAAAGTGATAGTTATATGGAGTAGTGGTGTGTAGCGTGAATAAATTTTAGTTAAATTAAGATGTGAGATGTGTCTATATAAATAAGGATAGTCTCAGTGATTTTTAACACAAAGAAAAGTGTGACAATATTAATAGCTTCCACCTCATTATTTTTCTTGTGTTAGTCATAAGAGCTTTCATTGAAAAGAGTGTTCATTGATATTACTATCACATATTTGATAAAAATATCATAAAAATTACAATTTTATTCGTTATATGATAAAATTCATAAACACTAAATTTTTTTTATTAATTTAGTCAAGCAGGCTCTTTTTGCTAAGTGAAAAGTATGGCATGTACACATTTTCATTTGTCCTCTAAGATTTTTTTAAAGATACGTTTAGTTTGAATTACTAGTTTTAATCATACAGTCTCCACTTGACCCTTCCTACGTGGCTTTGATTCTTGCCCTTGCGGAGATGTGAAAGACGTTTCTTCAGAATGTTTCCTAATTACAGACGAGGATTCGCTATTATTCGAGCAAGCACCTTGACTGTCCCTCCTTTCTGGACATACGTGCGTTACGTTTAGTCCATTGGACGTAAGAGAAGCTTTCCGAATACACATATCCTCCAGAGGAATCTCCTCGCTCCGCGGTCTTGGCATCTTAGGCGAACCATCTCTAGATCGCAAACTATTTTCATGAATTCTCTCATTTGAATTTGCATCATCGCATTTGGAACTCGATGATGGCAACGGCTTAATATTCTCTCTACGCATTTGTGCCGCAAATCCAGGAACTTTATTTACCGTAAACATCGGCCTTGCTTGATCCCTCTGCAGTCTCTGACCACGTCCGATTATACCTGAAAGAATTGAATCGATTATTTACAAAGATTCTGCTGACTAATTTTAGTTTTAAACTTACGCTCATGTCGCAAACTACGCAAAGCATAATTGGGTGGTGTTGAACAATGAGATATACTCGTTGGAATATCCAACAATCTTGCAATCTGATTCATCTTCTTTTGTCTTGCTTTTATTCGTCCTTTCGTCAACCTAAATTATTATTTGACCGATTTAATTAACTGAAATGATAATACGACTTTGACATTTGCTACAAAACCAACCTTTGTTTAGCCGCCATACATCGGATATGATCATCGAAAATAAATTTAGCCGACAGCAACGGTATACGATTGCCAGTGCTACTGCTTAATGGTTTGTAAATCGTCAGGTACAAACATCTTGAATCGTCCTTGTCGCCGGCCACATCAATGTCTTGTAAAAAACCAACTAACTTTGCAACACCCCAGCCAAGCTTACTGATATCAGGTTCCACAAGAATTAATTGCACAACATCAATGACTAAGAAACGGCGAATTTTCTGACCATCTTTCCACATGACGGTGCATGCAATCAAATCACTGTTGTCTGTAAACAAAGTTATAAATAACAAATCTTGCGTTGTTTATCTAATTTTACTTATAATCATAACACAGGCCTACAAAATTTACGGGGGGTCTTATACTTTGAACTTTGAAAGATGTTTCCGTAGGATGTTGATGCGCTGAAAACAACTACGTTGTCCGTTTTTTTTTCATCACCCTCCATTTTTAAATAATCGCAAAAACAGTTTTTTCGGAAGTAATTTTTTTATTAATTTTTTCCGGCTAAACAAAAAATGATATCGAGATCTGTTTTGTGGCATTTAATTCAGAAACGTTTCAACAATACTAAAAATATTTTTTCGATGCTTATAAAAATGTTTTATGCAAACCGTAAACAAAAAATTTTGGAAAAATTGCATCGAAAAAATATTTTTAATATTATTGGAACATTTCTAAGTTAAATGCCGCAAAATAAACCTCGATATCATTTTTTGTTTAGATGGAAAAAATTAATAAAGAAGTTACTTCCGAAAAAAACTATTTTTGCGATTATTTAAAAAATGGAAGGAAAAAGAAAGGAAGGATGGAAAAAAACGGACAACGTAGTCGTTTTTAACGCATCAAAATCCTACGGAAACATCTTTTCAAAATTCAAAGCACAACTCCCCCCCCTCCCCCCTAAATTTTGTCGGCCTATGTAATCAATGAATAAATGAACAAAAATACTATATATCAAATATTGCAATAAGTTGACTCTGTCACTTTTTTAATAATTAACCATGTGATTAAGATAGATAACTCTTACTTAGATCAAGGACGTTGTTGACTTGTACGCAATTAACTGGATTAGTCAGTGGTAATTGTGTTTCCATTTCCATATTGAGTATCAGAGATAGTTCTCTTATCAAAAAGAAAACTCTTATCGCACGACGTGCCCTTTCCACCTGCATACAATTATTCATGATTTTATTCTCTCTTATTATACAATGTGTGTGATTTTTCTGCAGCTTTATATATGTTCATCTAAAAATATATTTCTTTGTGTGTTTCTTCCTACCTCACCACATGGTAGCCTTTTACTAAATTCAATTCCAGTCATAGGTGTGCCTGTAGGTGGCAACAAAATATTGCTATCCATCATTAACCATTCGACATTTAACGGTCGTTTTTGTATTTCGCTGTATTCATCCTCAAACATGTCCAAAAAAATGTCTTCGCTCTAAACAAAATTAATATAGAATATTTTTAATAGAATGCATTTGTAAGTCAAAAGAGGCAAACAAAACTTGCGCTTAGTTTAATTTCAATAAGTCACACACCTTGTAGAAATTTTTTAGCAGAGATGTGCTTTGTTCTTTCGCTGCTTCAATGACTGCTAGATGTGATTCTCGTAATAGGCATTGTCCTTCAGATACTGTTAATTGTGTTAATAGCTTGATAGTTAATTCCAATGTAACAAGCCTCACTTTGGAATCTAAAAAAGAATTAATTTTCTTATAAAACTTGGAAACTTGTGGTATATGCAAATATTAAATTCGCATAAATTATAATGGAATTATCGACACAACTCACTTGTTTGACAACTCAAAGTTATAATATGAATCAACTTATCCATGAGTAATTCATTATAAGAATTTTTCGTCGACGTATTATTGTGGAAGGGAGACAAGATTATATCCAAAATTTTACGACTTATACCCTAGTAAATAACAAAATTGACTTACTATTATAATAAAAAAAAAAAAGGTATTTATGAATAAGACAGGTCTTCATCAGAATTTATAATTGTTACCTGGTTATTAGCTAATGCATATAATAGGCAAAGCGCGAATAATGCAGCATAATCATTTTCTGTACATAATAAGGAATTGGTTATTGCTTCTAGAAATGGTTTTTTTGTTAAAGATTCGAATATGTCATTTTGACTTTGATGAGGTAAAGGGCTTTCCAATGCCAAGCGTTGCTCTTTCTCCTCATCCGTTACATTCAATTCATGCTTAATTTCCTCTAAATCCTCTTCGCTTGAAATGCTTGTATTTAATGATGCATTCGTAAGAACAGGAGTATTTATACGGGTTGAAGCATCGTCAAAAGACGTGCTTGGGTGATGAAATTCAATTGCATTTTTAACTACTTCTTCTATATTTCTTGTACTGCTTTCTCGAGTATGCAATTCTTTAGATGTTGAGCGTATTTCATTTAAAGTTTCCCAAGACTTTTTCAATGTTTCTTTCGGGAGTGAGAAGGTAACAGATTTATTCGATGTTATATCTCCAAATTTTTCGAGAACACTATTTGTTCCAACTTGAATCGTCTCTAAATCGGACATGAGCATTACAGTCGCTAACGTATGTACAAGAGGTTCATGCGATACTATCAAAAAGACTTGAGAAAGTAGAAAAAGCGCTACCACAACACTGACGTGTTTTCTTTCATCCTAAAAATTCAAATTAATTATTGCTATAAAGAAATATTATCTCCTTATAACAAAAAAAAATAAACTTATATAAACTTTTAATAATATTTTTAAATACTCGCGTGAACGATAAAACATTAAACATCTCGAAATAAGAAAAATAAACTCATACCGCTTTAAAAAATTACTTTTATAATAATTACTTTTATAATAAAAGAAATAAAAATTTGATTCTTACCTGAATTTGGCACGTGTTTTTGTATTTCATTAGAGAATAGACGTACAATGGGACTAACAGTTTATGTAATAAATGTTCTGATAGAACTTTATTCAAGTCTGGTATATTCAAACATAAAATATCATTTAGATAATGAAGATGATCCAAATGTTCGGCAACCAAATCTGACAATCTATTTTGACTTTGATGACTAAAAAGAAGCATGTATTATTTTTTTTTTATTACTGTGGAGTTTGATTTAAATAAGATTTGTCAGAATAACTATTAGATTAAATTATATATAGAAAGATAGAGATCTTTTGAAACTGGTATACCGAAGAAACAAGTCGGTAATTAAAGGAAGAAATAATCTGACACCAAAATCCAATTAAAAATCGATCCTAAATACTTTTTTAAGTTGTTCATTGCAATATAAGAATAAAAAATTTAAAAAATGGAATCAAATCATCAAACGTTATATTCATGTCTTATAAGCTGTACTCAGGGCTGAAATGTGCGGACGCCATTACTTTGCTACGGTGCATCTTCGAGAATACAATATCTTGTCTAATTTCATCGAAAATTGAAATTTAATTTTATCAATAATCTACTTTAAAGCCTTCCATGATGTTAGAAAGACAAGATCTCGGACAGAGAAAGAATTAACAAATCATGTTTGAATAATACAGTCACATGATTATAATGCAATTGGTCAATTTTTCTCCGTTCGAGAATAAAGGAACAATCCGGCCGGATTATGCTTTTATCTTGCCTTGACCGGCCGGATCTTGCCTTTATCTTGCTTTGTCCCGCCGGATCATGTCTTTATCTTGTCTTGAGCGGCCGGATTAACTTAACAAGTACTTAAAGAAAAGGTATTTAATTAGTGTTTTGGAAAGCTCTCGAGATAATCTACATTTTCTACAAAAATGTGCAATAAAAAGTAGGAGGTTCCGTTTAAAAAATTGAAGGTAACTTTCACGTGACCTTTAAGCAACTATTCAAGGTCAAACTAATGACACCATCTTATGTCCCCCTCAAAGCCATACAACTTTTGTCTGAAACATTTTTTTCTAAAATCAAAAATAAAAAAGTTATTTGGGGTGGGACATTAAAATGGGACACCCCGTATACTATACAATTATATATATACTATACACATAGGCATTTTAATTTCTAGTATTGATTGTGTTCTCACTTGGTGAGAACTACGGTCTAAAATAAGATTCTTATTGTTTGCATTTCTCTTATTTTGCCAAAGAAATTCATTATAACATATACATATATGTATATAAATACATATACGTATATGTATATAAATAATTTCTTTCAACACAACTTTACAGATACTTTCTAAAAATGTTAAAATATGTAAAAATCATCCAATAATTTTTATATACTTGTAAGAGTGATGAGAGAAAAATAACTCTAGATCCATTGTGTGTAGAAGAGCATCAGAAAATCGGGTGTATTAAGAGTTGTTGTTGTTATTACTACTATAGAATAACAGAAATTGTAACAGAAAAAAATGTTTCAATATCGATACTTACTCGGCATCATTTCGGACACAGGTGTCCAATTCTATAATATGGTCACCGATAAACCATACGAGATTACTGAAATATGGCGCAGCAGTGCGATCTCTTATGAAAGCTAGCATAGATGCATCCTCGACACGATACACATTTAGAGTCAAAGTTCTTACAGCTATGCGCACCATACCTTCTGAATGATTGAAAAATTTGATCGCTTCTGTATACAGTGGGAAATCATTGGTATGCTAATAACAGAAAAAAATTTGCTACAATAACTTTGTCAACAACAAAGTCAGTGAATAATTCCAACAGACATGTCTGTATATATCTTATTATACATTATTTTATACTATTTACACAATAATGAACACAAGTTACAAAGATATAACTTAAAAAACGAGCACAGAATATCATTATGCGTGTACCTCGTTTACCTCATTATAGAAGAAATGTATCGTATGTGCGTTCAACTTCAAACTCAATGTTTTCAGGAAACTAATATAATATGCCATTACTTCTTCATCGCTAAAGTCAAATTTGTGTACTATTATACTATTTACATGATTGTTACTTAATAGATAATCTGAAAATGACAAATTTTAACTTAAAAATTAATTGTTTGGGAATCACTTATATAAATATGAAAGAAAGTTTTATAAAACTCACATAAGGATGTCTCATTCCGTATGTTCTCAAATAAAATATTCAATGTTTGAAGCAATTGAACGCATACGTAGCTCCCACATTTTTGCTTCATAATGCGCAGAAAAAACGAAAGCATGTTCTTCTCCAGAAAAAAACTGTAAATATATAATATAGCATATTAATCATACTTGTGTACATTTCATGTACTATATATTAGTACTATTATTTGGTTCTAGAATAGTATCATTCGTCACAATAAGAATTAAAAAATAGCATCGTTCTTATCTCTACTTACTCAAACACACTACTATCATTTTGATCACCCCATATGAGAATCTCAGCTATTGAACGTAGAGTTTCGACCAACAAACCTCTATTATTCTCAGACACAGTCTGATTCTTTGACAAGACATTGTATAAGTACCTAACAACATAAACAAATACACTTGTAAGAATCTGTTTTTACATTTGATACAAGCGTTATATTGGTCGATCGTCTGTATATACATACTTAAGGTGCTCCGGGGAATGTGGGTTTTTGGGCTTCCAAAGTCCGCCACCAAACCAGCTCCGACTGCGAAACATTTTTAGTTACTTCGCATAGACATGCCTGCATTCGCGTTCCACCTGAGCTGTACCTGCAGCCTGCAGCAACTCTCTTTCCCATCACGCAACAAACGGTGTGGAGATGCACCGTTTTGCCGAGTCCTTGCCCATCGTATGAAGTAGCAACATGCGCAGCGTAACTGTCGCGTGAAAGAACTTTATCATATTATTATTGTATTTTACATCGCCATCATGATATAAGGTTTGTTCGCGACTTCGCGTCGCAAGCTCCAACACGCTTCAACATGCTCCTACCGTAGCTCCTACTCACTCTATCGAGCGCGTTGGAGTGAGTAAGAGCTATGGTAGGTGCATATTCGAATATGTTGGAGCATACGACGCGAACAAACCTATAAAATGCCTTTAAGGTGCCTTTACACGGCAGCGTCAACCATGGATTTCAACCATTTCGCTCTTACGGACTTGCTCTACGCTGCTCTACGCTCTGTTACATCCCTAGCTACAAGTGAATGATCGATCAATATAGAATTAACGTCGAGCGACGTTGAATCAACATCGATTTGACGTTCATCGACTAACCATTAATGGCTTAGCTGGAAAATCAACTTACTCCCGACATGGTTACAGTCTCTGTACTGCTACTCTACGGCTACGTTTACACTGTGCATTTAGGCTGCGGCCTATACGATAGATGTCTTTGTTTATCCTGTATATTAAACAAAGACACCTGTCGTATAGGTCGTGGACTAAGCGCACGGTGTAAACATAGTCACTGTTTATTGTAGACCACGCGTAAAGCTGGTTCTACATTAGTCGCATCGCAGCAGCGTCGCAAGCGTTGCGGTCCAATCAACGTCAAGCTAGCTCGACTCTGATTGGACCATAACGCTTGCGACACGCGAAACTGCAACGTCACAGAACATAGCGATAATAAATTTGAAACATGGAATTCAGGTTGTATTCAATTAGGCCGTGTAACATAAATGAATATTGATTAGTTTCGTAAAGAATTCCGCAATCAAAGGGGAATAGGGATTGGGAAACAGAAAATAAAAACCTTTCAGAAATTATGTATTGTGGAATTCACAGTTTCTGACAGAAGATTAAAATTCTTATTCTCTATTTCCCTATTCCTTTGATTACGCGCAGTATCCAATACACGTATATTAAATATTTGATTAAAATTGCTAATTTGTGTGTATATTATATCAATAAATTTTGAATTTTTTTTTTCATTGTACATTTATGATGCTTAAAAGTGCAAATCATATTTAACACAACATGTGCATAAAAAAATCTGTTTAATAAATTTTTTTTAGTTTTATTTGTCTGCGTTACATTTTCTTTAGTTGACATTGATCATTTTATTACTATTAAGTTTATATTTTTCGGTACGTTAATTAATTTTTCAATTTACTTGGAGTCTATCTATTTGTGCTTTCTTTCTAAGTGTTCTTCTAATCGAGTTACTGGACGATGCTTAAGGGGTCGTCGTCGAGTGGCTTGCTCGGTGCGATGGACTCGTAATCTGTAGATCCCAAGAAGACTAGAACTAAGGAGGGTCAACTCGGTGCCAATAGCGGTAGTGGGGGTGAGGCAAAAAGTGGCGACGGATAACTTCCCCCACTCTTGCGCTTCATTAGTCCTCTCTGTCGCTCTATATAGTTGTCGCTCTATCGTTCTATAATCGTCACTTTGTCGCTCTTATATCGAACTTTCACACAATGCGCAGTGCCGCTGCACATCGTGTGAATAGCCGCGGACGTTTTTTGACTCATCCCCACCACACGAGTTGATCCTCCTTAGTTCTAGCACAGTATATACAGTAGCGCAACTCTCCTGATTTTATGTTGGCAAAAATAGAGTGCGCATGCGCGAAATCAGTAAGTTCCCCAGTAACTCCATCTAAACTTCTATCT